GAAATCTATATCCCCTCGAAGGCTAGTCATTTCCCAACAGGAAGCTTTTACCTCTTCCCGGGCTCAAATTCAAGAAAAACATCTGCATAAAAAATATCTCTAAAAAAAATTAAAGCTCCCGCGGGAAAAGATACACTAAGAATCTGGGAATCTTCAGCGAGCTTAGACTTCTATTTTTACTGTCATTCTTTTGTATACTTGGTTTTTAAAATTGAAAAAAAATGCAAATACATTTCTAGGCTCAGACGGCCAAACTTGTCTTGGGCAAAACTTGTCTGTGGGAAATGTGAATAGGGCGTACAAGCCAGAAACACAGAGTTGCATTGTTTCCCGGCATTTTAGTCTATGCTTTCTTTCCTGTTAAAATAATAAATCCGCTGGGTGTTTTTAGACGGCAGGTTATGTTATGATCTATCAACACATTTTCTTCACATTTGAAAATGGGATTTACAGCTCCAAGATCGATTAAGTGATACGGCTTTGAAGAAAGATATGTTTGTATAAACGCTTTTTATTTACATGCATTCCTTACCAACCTACACATTAAACAACACCAACCATCTAATAGTGAACATCACCAACAAAAGCATTTCCCTGCTTTATACACCGACACAATTCAACGCCTCGCTCAGGTACTGAATTGTTGAATGGTGTATGTGTGTGTGAGAGAGAAAGAGGGTGTATAGACATTAGATCTAGCTCGCGTTCTTTGCTTTAAAGATCCTTTTCCTTACCATATAAAGAAACCGCATCTTTTATTTATGCTAATTTTCACTGTATGGGAGGGGAAAGCGAATTCTTAAACCTGCTCTGAAGCCGAACTGTTTCAAAGCCTGTTTAATCAGTGCACGGCATTTAAAGTTGTTTAACTATTGTGTAGCCAGAAAGACAGGACTAACCCGCATCGCAGCCTATTACAATTGAAGTGGTTTAAAATGAAAAAAGCAACCCTACTCTCGCTTGAACAGGCACGTACGTGTATTTGTTTATTGACTCGAATTATATAGAATTGTAAGATCCACCAATCTACAACCCGAGGCAGGCGGGAATACAGAACTGCAGCATGCACAAAGCGTGCGTGTGCACTTTGCACGTCTTGCCTGTGCATCCGAGATGCTTCTCTGTCGGCAGACAGGCGACAGCGCTGCTGCTTTCCCGCGGTGAATTGCAACAGGTGAAGAATACGGAGCACTCGCTTCATGTCCACGCGCCAGACAGACACGCAGTTTAGACAGCTGGATGCATACGGTTTGCCTCGCCCTGTTGCCAGGAATGGCAGGAGAAGCGGGTGCAAAACCGAAGGATCGGGCTCCTGCTAAGGCACAAAGAGAAGGGCTGGAGCTAGTGGGCGAGTTGTGGAAAAGCGCAGCAGAAGAGGGGGAGAAGAGGAGGAAGTTGCGGGGGCGCTTGCGAGACCTGGGGGGGGGGGGGGGGGGGCGTGTGA